CGAAGACGGAAGATCTCAGAATAGCCTTAGTATTTGGGCACAGTCGAAGCATACGGCAAGTGGACAGAGGTAAGGAGCCACAATCCTTGGCTTTAGGGGCAACGACTAAGTCTACCGACCAGGTCTAGGACCCAGACGGGAACTTCCTCTGGGGACTGGAAACCACCCAACTACGCGATCTACGCCCGCGTCTATACAAAGTCTCCCAATCTCAGTCGCAACAACTCTGATTGGTCAATCTGGGCTGTGGCACGGGCCGGAATACCCTGCAGCCTCTGAGGCTCGCGCCTCGGGATGCCGAAGTTATCGGGGTTGATGATGCGCCGGGGATGTGGGAGGTAGCTAGTGCGCTTGCCCAGAAGGAGACACCTTGCAAACACAGACACAGATGAAAGCGCGCGGAAGGTATATCTGGATAGATTCGATTTGTTGCTATCGCCACCGGAGACTTCGAGGTGTTGGGTAAGCGGGCGCAGAAGTGTGTTGGGATCACTAGTGGTTTGGTATGTGCTTCAGGAAGCGGATTTGAAGATTAATTTCTGTCTTGATTTGTCTATTTCAAGTGTCTTGTCTTCTTTCGCAGCTTCGTTAATGCATGCAAGTATGGATAGTACATATTATACAGTACGCTGTGTACCTAAAAATATCTTAGCATTCTGTCGCGGTGTTGTACAAGATTCTCATGCTGTCGCAGCAGCTCCCCCAGTCGATTCTGCTTCCAGCCCATCCCTTCATCCAAAATCAGATGAGTGTACGCGAAAACGCTGGCGTCAAACAGCCCGGGATTCGGTCGATTGAAGAAATGCTCGTTGTTTCCTAGTAGGGACGAAAGCGCCTCGAACGCGTCCGCAGCATCGGCCTCCAATGCGATGACATCCACGTAAGCCGAGGTCTTCAGTAGCTCGTCACGCGCAGCGTGCTGGAGCTGCATGGCCAGAGCGGCGCGCACTGCACAATTGCTGGTCGATGGATCCACGTATAGTCTCCGCGCTACTGCGTCAAAGTTCTTCGGATCCAGGTATAGCATGTATAGCTTTTTCACACGTCAGTAAGGCCCGATTTTCATACATTCCGAGGACACTACGCACCCAGGCATTTCGTATCCGGTGATCCAGTAATGAGGCATACACCTCGAAGCGCACATCCAATTGCTGCTCTTCCTCACAGTGGACCTGTTCAATGGCCCATTTCTGTAGTTTGCTCGAGGGAATTGGCGCAGTAGTGCCGGCTGGCAGCGCGGGGAGAAGGAAGGGAAGTGCGCCGGTTGGAGAAGCGTGGTTGTTCGAGGGGACGATTTCTAGATCAATTCCTACAAATCTCAAGTATGCCTGTACTCTCAGAGACTCAGTCAGTAATTGATTATGAGCAGGAGTTTGACCATCATCCATCTAACCTGCCACTTCAGACATTGCGGGTTGAACGACGGCCTCCCTCGTCTGGCGCTCGCGGGATCTGTGAAGACAAACAAACGGTTGCCGCGTTGGGCTGTCCCGGAATGGTGAGGAAGGTCATTTGAAGGGTAGGTGACAAGAGGGAATTGGTCGAAGATGCGCTTAATCGGTGCAGGAACGGAGAAGAAATCCCGAGCGCGTGAAGACGGCGTGGCCTCCGGAGCCTGGCCGGAGGCGCCACGGTTGTCTGGGGACATGGATGGATGACGGAGGATGGGAGAGGCTCGACTTGGGTTGTGGTGTAGAATAAACTCTGTATGCCAATGTCTGCGGACGTAAAAAGAAGTATTGCACGCCAGACCGGTATAAGAATACCTAACCTATAGCAATAAAAAACGCCAGGGCGGAAGAGATGGTACCTGGAGCTAGTCGCAGCTCGATTGGCAACACATCCGCTTGTTTCCAGCATTTTTTTGGTAAACTCCGACTGCATGCCTCAGGCATCAAGAAGGATATGCCTAGTTACTCGGCTAGATGCCTGAGGCTCATTTTCCCCCACCATCATTGGATGTGATAAAAGCGCCATTTCCTCCGGTCTGATTGGATCTTCGCTTCTTTGTCAAAGTTCTGACTCTCCAGGGGAAAAATTATTTACTGCCGCTATCTACGACTATCTCCCGTCATTGCTCCCCGCATCCTCAAGCGCCTACAAGGGTGCAGTCTGGCTGTTCGATTCTACCTCTTTGGGTTGCTATTTGCTTCTTGGTTTCCTCCCGACAGATAATCGCAGAGAGTCGACAAATCAACTCCTGCCCCATCTTGTCTGATTTTCAGTCGCTACTTAGATCGAACTCCCCGCCGCTTGGTCAAGCAACCGGATCGTTCCGCACTCTATAGTGTCTGCTCATTGTGATGATTCTTTTTTTTTATCTCCTAGAACGGACTTCGGAAATTGTGCTTTTGACCGAAACTTTTCGATTTGTATCATTCAATTTACTTTCTAGTCCCCCTTACCTCCCCGCTTAACACTTGATTAGAGCTTTGACGCGCTAGTCATTTGCCAAAGTGGGGTAACAACTTGCGGACGCTTGCAGAGTCAATTGATCCAACCGAGGGACATATCTGTCGTTCAGCCCATATTTCAAGAGGTTGACAGTCAACATATGGTCTAGGCTGGGTTGAGATTAACCAACTGCAGCCATGCCTCTTGATGAAGAGGGAGCGAAATGGTCATGGTAAGGCCTAACTCTTCAGTTCACGGTTAGGATGTCTGGCGGTGTTGCTAAACATGTCCATGCAGTAAGCCATGTATTCGTGGCCATCGCTCGTCGAAATGCCAGCATTTCGACAGACTGATGATCAAAGTCCCAAAGGCGGGGCGTCCACTTGCCAAATGTCCCCATCCGAAAGGCAAGTGTAGCTGTCAGCGGGAATGCGCCTTTATGATTGCTATACCCAAAGGTTAGTATGGCTCGGAGGAGAGGAGCTGTTATGGCGCTATTTCCTGCTTTCACTATTGTGATGGCTGACAGTATCCAGGATCTACCTGTCTATGTAGGCCAGTATATCAGGTGCCTGCCAGCATGGGCGAACATGTTTCGGCTCAAAATCCACTCTCTGTTGGGCCCATGACCCCTCAACTACCGCCCACTGGTGATAGCCAGCAGTGCGAGAGAAGGGCCAGTACTTTCCAACCACCTCCTGAGAATTTCACCGGTGGTTTCGCCTCTATGTCTGGATTTGAGAACAGGCACGGCGAGAATGGAGTCTTTAGCCATCTGCCGCCATATTCACCATATGACGCAGGGCTCGGTATTGCTAGCAACTCTAGCGGCGCTACAAACTCGGGATTCATAACTCCACCTACTTTTATGGCTCAGCAGCCATTCGATAACGTCCAGAGTTCAGAGTCCCAAAAGAGTAGCTGCTGTTCTGCAAAGGCGACAGCAACCGTCCCCGCGCCGACTCAGAGTTCTTGTTGCAGAAAGAATGACTCGCATATGAATTCGCAGACTGCATCATATCAGCCCTACTCGGATGGAGCGATGTATCCACCAACTTCGGCTCCACAGAACTCATCGTGGCAACATTTCTATACAGCTGGCCAGAATAACTACTCGTCGCATTACCCTTTACAGAATCAGGCACTCGGGCAACCTGGGGTCATGCCGAACTACATGCCTCAAACAACACTAGACTACTCAAAGCCAAGTTTCTCGCAGCATAATGTCTCCAACGGTAATGGGTTCTTCCACGGCACCTTATCACAGCCCACGTCCGGTCAGACACAAACTCTTGGTTCCCCACATGCAACTTTCAGCGGAGAGCCGAAGCATGACTGCAACTGTGGGGACAGTTGTCAGTGTCTTGGATGCGCCACCCACCCCTTCAATAACACTACCCGACAGCACGTTCAAGAAATGGGTCTCTTAGTTACGCTTGATGGCGAGGAATCGAGTTTCGAGCGCTTGAATGGCTACCGGAACTTACACTCAAATGGCAACTCCGACGCCACTCCATTCAACTACAACCTGACCAATTTCAGCCACTTCGGCCACGAAAACCACTCGGGGGCCATGCACAAAAACATGGACAACTCCAGTCCAAATGGGGGCTCGCCTTCTACAGAGTACGCCTCGGAGCAACATCTGATGGTACCTTCCGAATATTACACCATCGAATATCCTGTGCAACTCCCCAGTGCTTGCTCGGATGTGACTGGCAGTTGCCTCTGCGGCAACGATTGTGCCTGCGTTGGCTGTCTCACACATAGTGGTCACAACGGCCTTGCGGTCGAGTCCTCGACGATCGAGAACAACGATTTGTCTCAATTGAGTCCTTCTGCAGAGCATAAGAGCGTCGGCTCGCCGCTCATACCCGGGCACGCACATGCCACCATTCAATCACCTGACCCAATGCTCTAGAGATTTAGCGATTGATGGTGCCTTTTGCTGCACATCGCTAAATATAATTTTTTGCCCCATCTCTCTTTTGATGCTGAACCTGGCGTTCGAAAACTTATGACCCCGATACCCACCTAATAGATGCTGGATCTTAGAGCTCCTGATTCTCCTTTTCTTCTATGCATAGCTCTGCTCGGACTGCGTCCATGCCTTCGCTGAATTTTCCTTTTTTGAAAGCTCTCCCCTCTTTTGTGGAGGTACATTCCCGGTGTTGTGGTTTCTTGGTTTCTCGTTCGGAGTCTGTGTCTTGAACGCGTACTCACTGCAAGAACGGGTCTTTCTCTCTTGTCTATTTTGCTCCGGGATCGATAGATGCCTTAGAGTAGCCTCAAGGCAAAGACGCAGACAGTCTACTGCTCTAGTATTCAAATCATATGGAAGCTACCTAGGCGCCACCATCGTCATCCTCCAGGAATTTATCCTGTGCTCTTCTGGCGAAAATAGCAGTAATATGCTTGAGCAAGTCGACAAGCGACATTGCAGAGGGAGTAGGACGACATATTTAATGCATTCTGAAAATATTTAATGCATGCAGAAAGGTAAACAAAGCCTAGAACATCTCTAAGCTACTTGAAAAGCGCCTCAACCGAACTTGTTTTCAACACCTATGCAGGTATCGTACATAATAAAAATGCTAAACCAATCTCTATTTACGCAGCGCATCTCTAACGGGAGAATCACCCCGACGGAAGGAAGCTAAAACTGTGTTAGCCGCCGTACTTGTCTTGGTCGTTATTGTCGGTATCGATCATCAATGGCCTTGCACATACCGTCGGCTTCTTCCCAGGCACGACCAGCTCCGAAACCCAGACCAACCCACGCGGGCCAAGCTCTCCGCTTGAAGAGAAGGACTGAAAAGACAACGCCAAAGGAGAGACCGAGCGAGGAACGAATGATCATGGAGGAGATGGCGCGGTCCCACTGTAAACAACGTAACAGTCATGTTAGCCATTGGAAGCAGAAACAGTACGCAATCGGCTTGCATCCGGACTCTTGTCACAATCGACCCCTTGCAGCCTGAGCTAGGCGGACGACACAGACGGAAAGGAAGTCATGAAAGCGTGATTGTACCTTCTCATTCAGCAATGCCTCGCTGACGGGCTTGGTGGACCGGAGAACCGGCTGGGATTCATTGGAGTCGGCCATTGCGGAAGATCTAGAAGTTGGCTCATTAGTATAATGGCAATCATGAGTAGGGGCGGGTTCGCAACCGACATTCAGCAATAGACTTGTGCAAATGTCACGCGAGTGAATTGGTAACCAAATTAAGGAGATGATGGAACGAGTCGGGGAGCGACGTCGATTGAGCTTCGGCGGGCAAAGGCGGTCGGAAAAAATAGGCTTGGGCGGGTTTCTGTCGTCAGTCAGTTTGGGTCCGCCGTCTTAAGGTATCACAACTTTTTTTTTCCCTTTGATCTATCTGATGACGAAGCAAAGAACACCCCACTTTCTTCCTTTCTTTTGATTTGGGAGAGACAGACGGGGAGTTCTGTCTGCATAGATCTCGGACGAGATGCCTTCAGTCGCGGAGGTTTGTATTTTCAGACTTCTCTTCTACGGAGTGCGTATGCTGATCTTGTGTTGCTTTGCTATATACAGCGTCCGCGCTCGTCGCAAGAAACTCTACTGCGGCTCGAAAAAGGCACCGCTTCACCTTTAGCACAGATCAACGACGCTGCTCAGATCATCGGCCTTGATCTGACGCTGTGTGCAACACATCCGGAAATCAATCGAAACGGACACGTTCAGACCAATGCCGCCCCGAAAGAAGAATGGGTTCTCCGGTGGTTGTTGAAGAAGCTGCGGGCTGGAAAAAGTCATCGTGTTGAACCCGCCTCGTTTCTCCTTCTGCGACAGTTGATCGATCTGATCCCTCCAAAGACCTTGGCGACCATACTTAAAGACCAGAAGCTCCTACCGACATTAAGCGATGTGATTGCAGATCTGGAGGAAGATATTTTCGCAACTCTCGAGAATGGAAAGGCCGATGATCTGCGCTTTGGCTCGGAGTCGAGCGATACGTTGGGCGATTCACCACATGACGAGAGGAAGGGGACTAAGAGAAAGAGAGCCGTTGCGGACGACCAAGACGCTATGGATATCGACGAGCAGCCGCAGACATCCTCCTCCTGCTTCCTCTCTTTTATTCGCCTTTTGGATTGTCTGTATAGTTTGGTTACGTTGACGAGTCGGGTAGCGGGTATCGATGAGGTGGCCAGCTCGCACTTGAAACATGCCCTCCGCGGCGAACCAGAATTGGTCGCGAAGCTACTGGGTCAATCGTTCAAGCTGGCTGCTGTCGTCTCCAAACAGCTCTTCGACGCACGAAAGACGACCGACTTGCAACATCTCCTCTACATTATCCCGGCCGTGTTGGAATTGTGGGAAATGAGATCTTCCCGTCGGGACGATTCGGACGCCGGATCAAGTCATGAATGCTTTGCAAAGTATTGCTTCCAGAATGCACTCAGATTTCAGGTCTGTGTGCGCTCCATCAAACTGGATACGGACGAGAGGGCTCAGGTCTCACACGGCGTTGAGCGTTTGATTGCTCTCCATGTCGTCCTACCGGCTCGTACAGCGTTCTTCGACCGAGGTGGCGCTGGCATAGACTACTCCAGCGACGAGCCGGACTGGAGCTCCGTCAAGCCGGTGTCCGAGACGTTCAGGCCTATTCTCTGTGCGACTGAGGCTTCGAAGACCAGCAAGCAGGAGAAGAAGCTCTGGAAGACCGCTGAGCTGCTGCCTGAATTCCTCGATATCGCTGCCCGCTCCGTTCCAAGAGATACCTTTCGGCGGCAGACACACGAGGCTCCCTGGTTGGAGACCCTCTTTGTAGCGGTTGCGGAGCTGGCATTCTCGATTGTCAAACAGGAGAGTTTGGGTTCATCGTCAGCCTACGTTTCGGAATTCGTTATCATTCTTGAACAGCTCTTCCGTGTTGTTCTAAACCGGAACGTGCAGCTATCTCTACACACGCTTCTCACTCATGCCGCATACACGGGGCTACTCAAGGAGGGTCTGTCGCAGGTTGAATGGGGCTTGACGGCCTTGTTAATCGAACTGGGAGCTGATATTTTCTTACCGAATTCTGGCCTTAAGGATTCAGCCAAGCTGTTGAGGGCTCTACTTGAGAAGATACTTCTGCATTGGCGCAGTGGCGTGCACCGCACAGACCGCAATTACGATATCATTAAGAATGGAATAGTGATCCCCTTGTTGCGCGCGTTCCTTGCTGCAAGAGATCTTCCGACTTTCATGCAACTATGGTACGAGCAGTTGATCGACGTCGAAGAGGCGCGCCTCGCGGATAACAGCTTGAGCCTTTTCTCTATTTGGGAGGATGATGATTTGTGTACCGCTTACGGCGATATCTTGCGGAGTCCCCTCACACACGCTACTGCTGCTGCGCAGATGCGAGCAGCCGCAGTGGAAATAAGAGGCGAGGACGGGAAGATCTCCTCTGCACCGGGCGCTTTTGCTCAATTCGTCCTCTTAGAAGCTGGTCTCAGCAATCGAGCCCTCGGTGCTGCGGGCACGAGAGAAGAGTTGAACTCTATTCTTGACATCCTGACGGCGACGCTGTCCTCAAAGCAAAGATTCCACTGGCGTTGGCGTCTGTGGCGACTAGCTCGCAATTTACTCGAGAATAATGTGCAATCAGCCGAAGACCCGCTTATGGTCGCGACTTTGAATCTAACCGATGCGGCAGTGAGTTCAATCCAGCGTAACCATAAGAATCGAATGAAGAACACTTGCGCTGCATTGGAATCATTCGAAGCGTATCAATTCGCGCTGGCCGCTGTCAAGGAAAAAACTGACACAGCTCGTTTGGAGAGCTTCCAGGTCTTAACCGGCGAGGCCAAGGACTATATCGGCACGATCACCAAGCAAGATGCTTTGGAATCTCTAACTTCGCCCTGGAACGGTCGGGTTGAAACACTCGATTCGTCAGTGTCTCTTGCCTTGGGCTACTTCCTTACACTTGTCAGAAGCCCTGATATCTGGCCTCAGCTGAAGACCGATGATAGGCGTGTTCTTTTCGAGCGCATTCTCGGTCTAGCAGCGTCACAATTTCGATCGCCCTCTGCAAACTTGGAGACTCCACCTTCGAATACGAGATTTGTGCAGGCATGGGCCTCAGTCGTTTGCCATGAATACCTACTCAACTCGCCAGCAATCGCTGTAGATCTCGTTCATGTACTTTCCAAGCGGCTGAAAGATGATAAAGAGTATCGCAACCTTTATATCGAAAGCCTTCAAAGAGTGCCTGGACCGTTGATCATGCGGCGCCAGAGAGGTGTGCTTCTGGATCTGCTTCAGGAAACTCTTGTCCAGGAGGATAATATGTCGGAGATCAAGCTCGGACTCCTATCTTTAATGGCCAAGCTGGCCGATATGCCCAAGACTGCAGCGACTTTCACGAGCGATTGGGAGCCTATGTGGACCGCTGCCAAAGCTGTTACGTTGCAGGGAACTGAGTGCGATCTACAGATTATGAAAGCGTTCCGCAATCTACATCGAGCAGTGATATCCAAGTTGCTTGTTCTATCGGAGGAAGACCGTGATAAGCTGTTTAAAAAGATGTATCGCAAGGTTTCGACTAAGGTTCTGAAGTTGAAATCTCTTGACCGCGACTCAATGGAGTGCTTCTTCTTCAGAGCCTCACTATCGCAATTCTGGCTTCATCGGGAACAGCTTTCTGGCGCATTTGTTGAAAAGGAACTCGACTCCTGCCGCCGGCATATGTTTGATTTGGTTGTGACTGAAGTTCGGTCGGTCAAGGATCGGTTGAAGAAGAAGAAGATAGAGGAAACCATTACGTTGATCAAGCTCCTTGATGCCCTGGAGGACTTTGAAGACTTTGTGGCGGATAGCATTGAGGTTGACAAATTCTTGACAAAGATCGAAAGCTACGTCGAAAGGTCTCTGGACTCGCAATCTTCGTTGCGGAGGCTCATAAGACGACGTGTCTTCACTGGTCGGCGATCGGACAAAAGCATCACAGTTCCTGTTGTTCAGTGCGCTGAAACTCTTTCCCTCCAACATATGTTTGGCGAGGAACAGCAGCTTTTCATCCGAGCGACTACAGAGAAGTTCAAGTCTATGAGCGTGGATGAAGTGACCGCAGTGATTCAAGAATTACGGGAGCTTGGATTCGATGGCGATCGTGCCGCTTATCGCTTACTTGCTGCTGGTATTGCAGTCGCTTCACTACCGTCTATCGAAGATAAGGAGACTTCTGCATCAAAAGAGTTGTCACTCCTATGCACAGCAGTTACAGAGTCTCTCTCGCATAGTACTTGCATTGAACATTTCACTTTCGCCACAGAGTGTCTGGACGTACTACTTCGCAACCACGCCCGTTGCATCGCACAGTGGAACATCGACAGCCTGCTGGCAGCTATCGCAGGATGCGCCTCGAAAGCTGGACCCCGCATCAACCCGGAGTATGCTTCAACTATATACGTCCGGCTGTGTAAGCTGATGGGAGTACTGTTGGGACTGCACCGTCAGAAACTCGGGGGACGTTTCCACTTGATCCTTCCGGCCATGCAGCGACTTCTGAACTGCCTTTTTGCCCGCTCTAAGAAGAGAAGTCAATCCATGCTTTCTGCAAAGGGGCACACACAGCAGCCGTACTGGCTTGCACCATTGCAGGCTTCACATGCCGTCCATTTCACCCGTCTGCTCACCTCGCTCTGCGATCCCACTGTCTCCGCCGTCTCACGGCCCACACAATCTGGGGGCAGCCGTGAGGCTCTCACTGACCAGACCAAGAAAGCCAAGCGTATTGCGGGTCAGTATTTGCAGTACTTGATCATGGAGTACGCGCAGAGTTCACTCCGCGGCTCCTTGGTGCCGGAAGTGAAAGCAGCAATACTTCCTGGTCTCTATGCCGTTCTGGACGTGATGTCGCGGGACACCATGCGCGCCATGAATTCAGGACTGGATGCTTCAGGACGGGCAATCTTCAAGGGGCTATATGATGACTACGTGAAGTTTGGCAAATGGAACAAGGGTTAGGGCGGGCGCGAATGACGCAGCCAGTTGAGGTTGAATTGGCATTTCTTATGTATACAGATACCACTTTTCTACTACATGTTAGATCGTGAAAATTCTATAACACGTACCAGAAACAATCT